TTATCCTCCAAAAATGGAAAAGTGGGCGGGGTCTATTTTTATTCTCCAATCACAGGTCGGAGCAATTCCTCTGTTTAGACGCATGTGCGAGGTGTAGTGTGGGGCTGTAGAACTATGGGGGCAGTCTACAGTAGACTGGCGACGCGCGAGGTGTAAGCGCGGGGCTGTAGATCTAGGGAGGCAGTCTACATTAGACTGGCAACGAGAGCAATTCAGCACATTTATAGGTGGCGCTGTGTAGGCATGATCTCGCCATCGCACTGTAGAACTTACAGGCAGTATAACCGCGGGACTTTGCGACATGGCGGCAACGAGGGGCGTTTAGCACGATTGTAGATGGCGCTGTGCTTGTGCGACATCGCATGAATTGCAGCAAGGTGCTTCGTGAGTATTCGTGCTCAGTGCAGACTGCGGCGAGTTTAGGTCCTTGTCAGAATATTTTTCATAGATTCCGCTGTTCGTGTAAGACGTAGAACGTGAGGCGTGTATCGTGTCAAACTAGTGTACATGTGCCGGTATTTCCCGTTTAGTGCTAAGCACAAAATATTACAATTTTTGGTCCCTTTGTAAGTGATCCCAACTCGATGTGTATGTCTGTGTAAGCTATGGATTCTTGTAAAGCAAAGATGTCTGACCAGTGTGTTCATTCCTGTTTAGTGTAACTCATTAGATATGAGAAGCTTATGGCCTGGTCAGCAAAGCCAACCGTGGACATACTTACGTCTATATATTACATAAAATTAAACTATAATTAATGTTTTGTTGTTAAGGCAGAAAACTTCCAGTAAGATTTTTTCCTGTTAAAAAGATGTGTTCGATCGTGAACGTAGGTGCATGTATATGTGTTTACGAAGATGTGTGTAAACGCATGCTTATGCTCCATGCATAACTTAATGTTCCCCATCGATATTGTCATTTGCACAAAGTGCATAATAGCATATTATACAAATATCAAAGTATTGCATATATATATATATATATATATACATATCGCTGTGATAGCCAATATTTGCTAATAACCCCAACTACTTAGTTAACCCGTATATATGTGTACATGTAATTTTATAATGATCTTGTTTTATTGACAAACGATCGATATGTGTATTTAATAACATATTCGTGTTTTAATAAATGTTTTCTGCTACATCTATCTAGTTCGTAGCTATGTTTTAGGAAGCTATTTTTGCCTACAAATGATGTTGCAAGTGGCTAGAAGTTCTTCTTCGATTGAAAGCCATCTGTCACGCAGAATGAACAAACAAAAATGTAAGAGTTAGTCTACCACCAACATACATATCCTCATTCATACATAGGCATACATATATGCTTACGCATCTATGTGTAGCACTCCGCTTTGCCACTAGCTCGCCTGTTGCAGAGCGAAGTGTTACGTGCATACGTAGAGCAAGCAAGCAGGAAGACAATGTACGTGACTGATGGCTTGATGACGTATTGAACGACAATGGAACGTATTGTGATTGTTTGAGACCGGATCTTTACAACCGGATTCGCCGCGACCACTGCTGTTATAGGATATCTATGACTGCGACACAAACAAAAAACAATAGCGCAGCAACCCGTACACCGTCAAAACATAAACAGGTTCCGAGCCCATGCTGATTGAGTCCGTGTAGGTATGAAAAGCGCGCGAAGGGGTTATAGGGATGTCTCGCGCATGCCCAGTGCTAAGCGACCAGCCATATGGTTCTATTCGGGGTGCGGTTGTCGCACTGGCCTAGCCCACGGCGACCTGTTTTGCACAAAAGCCTCGTGATAAATACGTAGATATATATAGACCTATATCGACGTTAGCACGCACACCCGTTTGCCCTTGGTCGCACACCGTTTAGTTCTAGTAAAGGAATGCCACGCGAAGGTCAAGTGTATATGTGTGTTATTATAGGATTATATCGCACGTAGCACGTACACGTACACAACTGAATCTACGACGACGTCGGTTCTTGCAGTATTTACCTTCGTGTCGTTAATGTTGATGTCGACGGTGGAAAGCTAAATATCAACTCGACGATTTATCAGTGTGTGCTCAATCTGCGATTGTACCAAATACAGTGCTCTGCAGTTTCTCGGTGTGATACATAAGTTAAGGCCACACTGCAATATATTTTTTATACGTGTAGTATATACGCTCATATATAGATCGCTATATCTACGTACGGGAATTGATTGATAGCAGCGTGGTACTGAACTGTGGTAAAGTTCTCACCGTAGTCGAGTCTAAAGGTAACGTATTTCAATTGAGTATAACGTTTATCTAATATGAGCTATTAATACTAATATATGAACTTATATCCATATAGTATAGCTATATCCTAATTCGTTCTACTGCTAAAAGCCCCTAAATTATAGTGCGTGAGCTCGTTATACTATTCTTAGAGCAATTTGGCACATTTGGCACACCGTGCATTCCTTTTTATCGCGCATTCACATTTGTCGGTCCAATATGTTCTGTATTATGAACCTATATGTATAATTTATGTTG